TTTTTTTTATTGATAGGACGATGTCATTGTTGTTCGTAATTTTTTTTTTTTTTTTTTGCTTTATTAATAGCATTAGTGTTGTTTTGGTGATTATTATTGTTCTTATCATGAATGTTGTATCGTTGTTATCAAATTGATATTGTAGTATCACAACCTCAGCGGAGGCCGTTATACCGAACCAGGAATCGGTCAGGACCTTCATATAACGAAGCCTTTGTTCCTCTCCAGATCCTCAAGCCCTACTTCGGCAGAACCATCTACAAGAAGGTCCTCAAGCCGATTGGAATCCTCTTCGAAAAGGCTTGGCGCTTCAGGTTGGTGCTTTGGCCTTTCCCAGTGATTTATGCTTTTCACACGTTTTTCCCTGACAAGAGTGTGCAGGCGTGCCGGAGCATTGCTTAGACGGGCACGTCAGAAGTCAAATGATCCTTTGGTTATAGGCGTTTTGTCACAACAGTTCTAGATGTCAGTTGTTTTTTTATTCGTCCCCAGGAAGACATCGTATGATATCGACGCTTGTTTTCCCCTCTGTTTTTTTACCTGATTTTTATCAACCTGCAAGGCTTACTACAAGTTCTGTGAACCTCATTTCAATGTCATTTTATTCGATTCCACATCTGTTTCCTAGATATTTTTAATGCTCTTGTAGGTTTTGGAATAGATTGCCTTAAGAGATGGTAACGTCTCCGACTCTTAACGTTCATAAGATCAGTTAACATGTATTTACTACGTAAACTGATGATTCCCTACCTTCTCTTAGCTATACCTTTAGAGGTATAATTTATTGATCTTTCAGTGTGGTTCTTTATATACCTTACCATAACTTTTAAAAAATTACATGATTTTTGCCCTTACAGAGTGTTGCGTCTCGGGGTGTACGTGGGCCTCCTCCTGATCGTGTTCCTGTTCCTCCTCGTGGACGCCTGGCACGAGACGCATCGCCTCATCTCGCTGTTCGGGCTCTTCGTGCTCCTCTTCCTCGGGTTCATCTTCTCCAAGGCGCCGCGCAAGGTTCGGCCTCGTCCTCACTGGGGGGGGGGGTTGCTCTCTCTTGGTCGATTTCTTTCTGGCTGTGTCTGTTTTCTTTCTTTTCTTTTTTTTTCTTTCTTTCTGTCCTTTCTTCCTGCTTTCCTCCTTCCCTTCCCTCCTCCCTCCTTCCTCCTCCCTCCCTCCCTTCTTCCTCTCTCTCCTTCCCTCTATCCCTCTCCCCCTCCCCCTCCCCCTCTCCTCTCTTTCCCCTCTCTCTCTTTTCCCTCCCACTCCCCTCCCCCTCCCTCCCCCTTTCTCTCTTACACCCTCCCCCTCCCCCCGTCCTCCCCCCTTTCTCTTTCTTACCTCTCTCCTTTCTCTCCCCCTTCTCCCGCGACTCGCAGTACTTGTGTGTGTCGAGGCATACTTCAGGATATAGTTTAGCATGATATTTTATGTCTTTCATACATTCAGACAGCTGTAGGTTCCAGACCAAAACAACGAATGAAAACAGGACCACATAAGTAGGTTTTACGTAAGTCTTTCCCCGCGCAGGTGAGGTGGCGCCACGTGGCCTGGGGAATGGGGCTGCAGTTCCTTCTGGGAATCATCATCCTGCGCTGGCCGGTGGGGAAGGCCGTGTTCGAGTGCGCGGGCGACAAGGTGTCCGCCTTCCTCGCCTTCACCGACAAGGGCTCTGGCTTCGTCTTCGGCGATTTGGTGACCAAGCAGTTCGTTTTCGCATTTAAGGTGAGGAATAGTCATATTACGGCATTCTGTTTAGTAATGTTCTTTGCTTATGAATAATGAAAACATGTAATTTTTTTCTCTACGGAATTTTGATTAGCAATTTTTTTTCGCAGGCTTAGAGTCTGTGGAAATAATCTACCGTATTGTGTATTAGTCACTGAGGTTGCGAGCCAAATACCATAAAAGATTAACTCGTTAACTCTTCATTCTAAAGCAGCGCTGTTGACACCAACGGCCCCTTTTAACCTCCATTGCCCTCCGCAGGTGTTGTCCGTGATCCTGTTCTTCAGCTTCTGCATCCAGATCCTGTACTACTGGGGCGTGATGCAGTGGGTCGTCATCAAGCTAGGCTGGGTCCTGCAGGTCACCGTCGGCACCACCGCCTGCGAGAGTGTCAACGCCGCTGCCAACATCTTCCTCGGACAGGTGGGTCGGGTGCCATCGGCTTAGCCTTTGGGAGAGACCCTCACGTGTTATGTAATGGCTGGAGACGTAGGTCGTGTAATGAATTCGGTGATGTTTGGATTTTCGTCATGGAAGGAACACATGTACAGGCTCTGTTGCCATGGTGTTTATAACCTCAAGTCCGTAACTAAAGAAATTAAAAGTATTTAATTGCATAAAGGGGCATTCTCCACAGACCAATTTAAGTTTTAAAACCTATATCCATCTTCTTTTGCATCACCAAACTACAAACAGTAACGCACGAACGAAATTTAAAAAAAATGGAAAGAAAAATCATCAGTATTTATTATTTTTATATGATCAAAGTATGCTGCTACAAAAGATATATCCATTTCGGCATTCCCGCCCAAATTGGAATCTAATTTTGACTTAGTGTCAGATAAATTGTTTCTTATATTTACTGAAACTCCTTTCCTGAACTTATGAGCCTCCCCCCCCCCCCAAAGACCGAAGCCCCCCTGCTGATCAAACCGTACCTGTCACTGATGACCGAGTCGGAGCTGCACGCTGTCATGACGGGCGGCTTCGCGACCATCGCCGGCTCCGTCCTGGCCGCCTACATCTCCTTCGGCGTCGACCCCGCCCATCTCCTGTCCGCCTCCGTCATGAGCGCCCCCGCCGCCCTCGCCTTCTCCAAGCTCTTCTATCCCGAGACGAAGGTGTCGAGAACGGGCGTCAAAGATATCAAGATCGAAAAAGGGTAACTGATGGCATCGTGGTAGAGTGAGTGAGAGTGAGTGAGTGAGTGAGTGAGTGAGTGAGTGAGTGAGAGTGAGTGAGTGAGTGAGTGAGTGAGAGTGAGTGAGAGTGAGAGTGAGAGAGAGAGAGAGAGAGAAGAGAGAGAGAGAGAGAGAAGAGAGAGAGAGAGAGAGAGAGAGAGAGAGAGAGAGAAGAGAGTGTGAGTGTGAGAGTGAGAAACGACCATAGCATGAACGAGAATATTGTAAATGTCCTTCACTTTAGAGGGTTTCATTCTCTGGGGCAGTGTCCCGCATATTTTAACATGATTCATCGAAATCTTATATATTTTTCATTTCCCTTCAAAATAAATAAATGAATAAATAGAAATAAAAGATCATAAGATTAACGAAAAGAAAAGATTATTGAATCAAAACGTCCTTCAACAGAGAGGAGACCAACTGGCTGCACGCCGCTATGATCGGCGTGACCAACGCCATCCCGCTCGTGGCCAACATCGCCGCCAACCTCATCGCCTTCTACGCCTTCATCGCCTTCTGCAACGGCGTCTTCGACTGGACCTGCACTCTGGCTGGGGCGGCGGAGGGCACGTGTTCTCTGGAGGTAAGGCCGGGCAGGTGGTTCGCGGGTCTTTTTGGGTTCAGTTGGCGTCGGTTCGAATCCTTTTGGGGGAAGTCAGTTGTGCTTTTCATGCGACGACTGAAGCTGGGAGGTGTGCGTTGACGAATGTTGGGGTAGGGGGGATGTATCCGTGAGGGGAGTCTTAAACCGCGATGATAATGACCAAGGGCATTTTTTTTTTTATTGGACTTCCACTAAAGACTAGAGAGTATGAATATCATTAACATTGTAATGCTTCGGAAGAAAAGAATTGCTACTTTTCCACCAGCGTACTTCTCTTTCCATTATGTTTCCCAACTGTATTTGTTTTCATCTAGTAAAATGTTCAAGAGATATTGATGAGAAATAGGCATCTCACCGAAAGTAACACGAGGTAGAATTCAAAAGCTTAACGCCATTATAACAGCTATATGTATATATATTTAGGGGTTTGTAGGCCTACACAGAAAAAAGGATGGGTACAATGTATGCTTATTTTCATTTACTTGATTGTTTAAGTGGCAAAATATTAGACTTGGTTATGCGAGCTTCCTTTTTAAGTGATTTTCATTTTTTCCTAACTTCTCCGATCAACTACTCTTTGAATAGTTTATAAAAAGATGAAATAAAGGATACCACTCCCGGGCTTGTCTCAGACCAAACTTCAAATTCTAACCTCAGTCACCAGCCATTGCCAAGGACCCGACTAATACCAACCACATACATCATTAACCTTTTCGTCCCTTCCGTAACACAGTCCCTGTTCGGGTGGATCTTCATGCCGCTGGCGTGGGTGATGGGCGTGGATTGGGCGGAGTGCGAGAAGGTGGGCGAACTGATCGGAATCAAGTCCATCGCGAACGAGTTCTTAGCGTACCAGAGGCTCTCCGAAATGAAGAAGAACGGAGATCTGTCGGTAAGTCTTTGACTTGGCTGGACAGCTCGTAAATATTGGGCAGATTGTGAAAAATAGTAAATGTTTCCACAGGTAATAACGTTTTGATTGTGTATATATTGTTTGTTGCATGGATTAGACGAAGACCGTGTGCCTGAAACGGCAATTGATCTTGTTTTGTGGAAGAATTCATTCTCGTACATGTTTCGTAAAAACTGTCACCGGTCTTAAATCTTTCAAATCCTTTTTTTTTTGTCACGCCCTCTTTACCGTTGTTTTTTCTTTGCCATATCGTTGGATTTTCACCAACGCCTGAATTATCTTCCAGAAACGCGCCGAGATCATCGCCACGTACGCCCTGTGCGGCTTCAGCAACCTCAGCTCCATCGGCATCAACCTGGGCGGCTTCAGCGCCATGGCCCCCGACAGGAAGGCCGACCTGGCCAAGGTCGTCGTGAGGGCCATGATTGCCGGAAGCGCGGCCTGCTTCCTCACTGCCTGCGTGGCCGGTAAGTATTTTGCGAGGGCTGCGAAGGCTGGGACCTGGCGTTGGCTGTTTATTTAAGTCTGCAATATCTCCCACAAAAGTAACATTTTGTGTGTTGTCGCGTCTACAGACACGCATACCTCTGCGTCCATGTGAATGTCTAAGCAGATGAATATGAAAACATTTTGCGAACTAAGGCGCTTCTCTCCCCAGGTACTTTGCTGAGCGATGACGCGTACGGCGGCGCTGCAGCGGCCATCAACGGAACTCAAGCGGCGTTCACGTAATTCTAGTGTTGTTTGGTCTCCTTTAACATGGAAAAGCTGGCGTTATGTAGCATGCACCGTAGCCGTGTCTTCAGTCCTAGCAATACTTGTACAAAGAATGGTATTGTATGGATAGTGTTTGTGGTGCCTATGTAAAGAACAACAAAGGCAAATTGCACTATGGATCTATGCAGGATATTTGCAGAACCGATCGCAATGTTAAGTTAAGTGTAAACAAAAAGAACGAGAATGCTCTTAAGACTTTTTGGACGCCATTTTATGACTGTGCCAAGTTCACATTAGAGGGTTTTACAAGTTTGCTAGTCGACTGTTCTGTTCTTCCTCAGTATGAAAAAGAAATGAGTATGTGGGTTTTCATTTGGGGTTTTAAACAGAATTGTATTAATTATGCACTTAGATTTTTTTAAAATCTGATATTCACATACAGTTGATTAACATGTGGAATTTAGTATTGAAATGCAGATACTTTTTCACATTTTGTACAGTTTGAAAAATGAGTTCAGGTTTGTACATATGTATATCTTTTCATAAGAAAAGCATATATCAGTATTTTCTTAAGTGCAGATTTGGTTGCACAGTTGTATGCATTCCGATTTTATACATTCCATTAGAGACATTTTTAGAGTATTCATTTAAATACGAATATATTCAATATCTTTAAGATCTATGGTTTCCAGCCAGTGGGTACTGAAGCCTCGAAAAAAATGTTGGTCAGTTTGCTAGGCGTTCGTCTGTGTCCATAATAAGAATGTACTTTTAAACCATGTCTTCAACAAGGAATGTATTATTGGGTGGATGAAGACTGCTGAATATTTTTCTCTTCGTCTAAAAATATTCAATGAAAGGGTTGTGAACCACTATTTGATATATCGTGTAAATATTTTGAGACTAGGAATCTTAATTTTGGAATAAATCACTTGTTATACGTGATATAGTAATGTGTAAAGATATTACTGATATATATAGTTATATATTTTAATTTATATTGCGTTTATTATGGCTGTTTCATTATAGGATTTTATTTCATGAATGAACTGGATTACTTGCCAAGTTCCTGTGTTTGATTGCCGTCAGTCTTTGCACAGTATTTCACTTTTATTTTGGACTTATTTTATCTATTGTCAGTCTCCAATCCTCATTTTTTTCATGCATCCGTCCGTATGTACAACTTTTTATGTATTATGTATAGTACTGTATAAAGTACTGTATAATCGCTTGCTTTGTCACACGAAATATAATAGGTACAGATTCTCAACTACAGTTTTTATTTAGAAATTTACATATCATTACTAATGCTCAAGTGTACGAGTAGAGATAGTAAGATGTACAGCTACGCAGAAAAATATTTTAAGACAATCTTGCTAAAGATTCTGACACCAGCAACAATACTTTTTGAAATATAGTTGTTAACGGTACGAGACTGTTGGTATCGCTGTTTTTTCCAACTATTGGGTATGCGTGGCTTGTATAAATATTGCAAGGCATATTCAATCCCATACGGGAATGAAATGATCATATCACAGTGAATCCATATGAATTACAGAATGACAATTCGAGACATGAATTAGAACGAGGCATTCGAAACTCAAAATACCAACCCCTCCGTAACATAAGATCCTCTGTTCAATATTGAATGTTTCGACACCCCTACTCACGATACTTTTCTGCCAAGCTGTGCATCTGTAACTTGTGCATTTTATTAATAATCAGTATAGTATGCAATGAATTCTGAAATAGGCCTTAGGGTAACGAAGCAAATAGATAATTAGACAGTTTTTAATTGTATAAAAAATGGTGCAGAACGACCATGTATATAGAAAATTGAACTCCAACAGTCGTGGGTTGTGTATATACAACTTCGTCGAAGTTTAGTGAAGTCCTCCGTTTTTTTACCTTGAACTCAGCTGTTCGATTTGTAACTCGTGTTAACAGATAAGAATTATTGTAAATAATATATTTATATACTGATTGTTCCTGAATAATAAAAACCATGATCACTGATAAACAACTTGTTTTAAATATTAACCTTGTCTTATGACGATAAGTAGAATCTGATTTTTATTTATAGTAACATTTTTGCGATGGCTTGAATATGCGTTATACGATTTATGATAAAAATAACTGAAAAACGGGAAAAATTAATGTTTTTCATAAGCTTTCAGGAAGCAAGCTCAATCTTGAGGCGTGAAGAAGCCGTCAGTCAAAAATAAATTTTTTCTCTCTTTCCAAATGGCAAAATACATTATTTTAGGTTCTTAGTTTTCCAAGGTAATAAATATTTCTCATCCTAAATTAGACAAAGATTCATTTTACTGTTTAAACTAGTAATACCCCTCACTCTCAGAAGAAGGCCATTCTGGCATGAACTAATATAATGTGGCAAACCGAACGTCATCCCGGCGGAAATTTCATCCGATGTCCCCTCAGCTAAGTCTTCCAGCAAGACTGTGGCCCTGCCTTCTCCAAAGGCAGGGCCACAGTCCCATAGAATGACTTTAAACCATCAATCCTGCAACACACTCACAATGAATAGTCGTATACTTTAATATATATATATATATATATATATATATATATATATTATATATATATATATATAATATATATATATATATATATATATATATCAAGTTTTATGTTCAATGTCGCATTTTTTAAAGTTATACATCTAATACATATTCTGTAGAGATGCTGGTACATTTTATGTTGTTGAATGCTGTTACATTATTGGCTTAAATTAACGTCTTCATGACAATAACAATAAGGTGAATTAATAATAGTAAATTAAAAACCATATTGACATCATGATTACTGATAAATTTAACAATGATTATAATTTGTTTAATAAAAAAAACATTCTTTCCAGTAGAAATGATAACAAATTGTCTCTAGCTGCCTTAAAGTATTTTCGTAATTATTTCTATATATACAAGACCCATCGAACCATCCTTTCCCCAAACAAAACTGTTTAGTCTCGTTTAGCTTTCGGGAAGGTCGCTGATAAGTGTTCCTGTGGGAAGAAAACACATAATTACTTGGGTGTTTATGTTTAAATGTATCATTAGATAAGTATATATTGTAGCGTATGCTGGGCATAATTATCCAAGGATCATTAGTACACAAACACGCACGCACTCGCTCACACAAACACAAACAAACAAACACGTTTATATATATCATTTCATGTACGACATTACGAACTCCTCCCCCTCCCCCCCAAAAAAAAAACTGTTTTAGAGCCTATTTATGATTAGGTACTACTACTGTCATGAATAATTTTCGGTATGAATTGTAAGATACTAAATTACCTCCTTTCTATCCCTCCCTGATCTAGATTTTTTATATGCTAGTAGATATGAGCTGATCTCTAACTGTGTGAGATTAAGATAAAGTAACCTGCCATTACAGACGTGGTTCTTATGAATGGGTCTGAGTGGAGGTCAGGCAGTGCAAGCAGCCAGCTATGTGAGTCTTGTGACTGCGATTGTAAGTGAGCACACACACACACACACACACACACACACACACACACAACACACACACACACACACACACACACACACACACACACACACACACACACACACACACACACACACACACACACACACACACACACACACACACACACACACACACACACACACACACACACACACACACACACACACACACACACACACACACACACACATATATATATATATATATATATATATATATATATATATATATATATATATATATATATATATATATATATATCACAGTGCAATGTGCCATCTACACAGAAAAACGAACCCGCCACACAAGCTGTGAGGAAGCAGGCCGCGCTCCCCGCGATCATGGCCCTCACGACGACCTTGGCCAGGTCGGCCTTCCTGTCGGGGGCCATGGCGCTGAAGCCGCCCAGGTTGATGCCGATGGAGCTGAGGTTGCTGAAGCCGCACAGGGCGTACGTGGCGATGATCTCGGCGCGTTTCTGGAAGATAATTCAAAAAAAAAATAACGGTAAAGAGAGCATGACAATAAAAGAATGTGAGAGATTTCAAGACCCGTGATCGTTTTTATGATGGACATGGACGAGAAAGAATTCGTCCACAAAGCAAGATCAACTACCGTTTCAGGGATACGGTCTTCACCAATGTCAAGCAAAGTCTCGTGAAATTCTTCATTCTCAAACAACAAACAATACTGTAAATACACTGTATCAAAACGCGTATTACATCCTGTCTTACGAAATCATGCACCAGCCTTCACAATTTGCCTAACATACACCGAGCTCGCCAGCCGAGTCACCGCCTTACCGACAGTTCTCCGTTCTTCAGCATTTCGGAGAGCCTCTGGTACGCTAGGAACTCGTTCGCGATGGTCTTGATTCCGATCAGCTCGCCCACCTTCTCGCACTCCGCCCACTGCACGCCCATTACCCACGCCAGCGGCATGAAGATCCACCCGAACAACGACTGAGGAAGGAAGGAATTGTTTTTTTCTTTTGCCTATTTTGTTTGGCTTCGGTTTGAGTACTGCGTGTAGGCTGATGGTCTACTAGATGTTATTGTATCTGCGTGCGTGTTTTTCTCACCTCGAGCGTGCACGTGCCCTCCGCCGCCCCAGCCAGAGTGCAGGTCCAGTCGAAGACGCCGTTGCAGAAGGCGATGAAGGCGTAGAAGGCGATGAGGTTGGCGGCGATGTTGGCCACGAGCGGGATGGCGTTGGTCACGCCCACCATGGCAGCGTGCAGCCAGTTCGACTCCTCGCTGCGAGGAGACGGCGGGATTCAGGAATATTCACAATAACTATATTTTTTCGTAGAACTACAGATAAAGTGTCCTGTCGACAAAAACGGATCATGAGGTAGCCCCAAGACACACGCAAACTAACCCTTTCTCGATCTGGATGTCACTCGTGGTCGTCCTCGACACCTCAGTCTCCGGGTAGAAGAGCTTAGCGTAGGCGAGGGCGGCGGGGGCGCTCATGACGGAGGCGGAGATGAGGTGGGCGGGGTCGACGCCGAAGGAGATGTAGGCGGCCAGGACGGAGCCGGCGATGGTAGCGAAGCCGCCCGTCATGACAGCGTGCAGCTCCGACTTGGTCATAAGCGGCAGGTACGGCTTGATCAGCAGGGGAGCTTCGGTCTGGGGGAGGAACAAGGGGTGAGCAGGCCGCTGGGGAGGGGCGCAGGGGATTGACTGACACTTGGGGAAGAAGACTCAGGGTTTGTCTATTGCAAATCCTTCCAGCCGGCCTCACACATCCCCACTCAAGATCCGGAGTAAATATAAAGCACCGAACCAAACCAGAGGATCAAAACGCTGACACAGCTGACGGCAGCCCGACCCACCTGCCCGAGGAAGATGTTGGCAGCGGCGTTGACACTCTCGCAGGCGGTGGTGCCGACGGTGACCTGCAGGACCCAGCCTAGCTTGATGACGACCCACTGCATCACGCCCCAGTAGTACAGGATCTGGATGCAGAAGCTGAAGAACAGGATCACCGAGAGCACCTGTGGGTTGAGAAGGGTGGTGAGGACCGATGGAAAAGTCACCGAGAAGTTGAGAAAACGTTTAAAACTCATTAGACTAATTAGAACATTCATTCTGGGATTATTTGCTGCCACTCTGCGTTTTGTTCATGTCTGTTAACATGTGAATTGAATGTTGCTGTTTCAGCAGTTACCGTCAAATGGCGAATATGGTGATGAATGGTTTATCTACTGTCCATTTACTTAACAAGTAGTTCGATATTTTAAAAGCAAATTATATGAAGATTACAAACATTACAACATAATGGAACGGCGTGCGTGACAGCAGACGATTTTTTTCACACCGATAAATTGTAAGATTAAAGCATCTTGATCCATGTAATATACAGTAACGATAATTTATTGGGTAGTCCATCGTGTATAGGTAATGTGTTTTATGAAATGCAAAGACAATAACCACATGAACTTGTCGATTTAAAGACATTAAAATAACTACTCGTAGATTGTCACTTCAGAGATGTTGAAAACAGAGAGAGAGAGAGAGAGAGAGAGAGAGAGAGAGAGAGAGAGAGAGAGAGAGAGAGAGAGAGAGAGAGAGAGAGAGAGAGAGAGAGAGAGAGAGAGAGAGTTGGGGCTGGGGGAGGCACCCTTGGCCTCCAAGCCCCTCACCGAAAATGCGAAGATTCCCATTTCGGACACGAGCGCCCCGAACACGAAGCTGGAGCCCTGGTCGGTGTAGGCGAGGAACGTGGCCACCTTCCCGGACACGCACTGGAACACGGCGCGCCCCACGGACCAGCGCAGGATGAGCAGGCCCAGCAGGAACTGCAGCGTCATTCCCCAGGCCACGTGGCGCCATCGCACCTGCGGGCAGGGGCAAGGACTCAGATAACGTTCTTCATACATACATACATACATACATACATATATATATATATATATATATATATATATATATATATATATATATATATATATATATATATATATTTGTATACACACACACACACACACACACACACACATATATATATATATATATAATATATATATATATATATATATATATATATATATAATATATATATATATATATATATATATATATATATATATATATATATATATATATATATATATATATATATATAAATCACACACACACAGACACGCATGTGATATAAACATAAATACGATATATATATATATATATATATATATATAATATATATATAATATATATATATATGTGTGTGTGTGTGTGTGTGTGTGTGTGTGTGTGTGTGTCTGTGTGTGTGTGTATACAGACACACACATGAATATACACATAAATACGATATATTTATAAATACAAATATATGTATATATCTATGTATATATACAGATATACATATCTATGTGTGTGTGTACACGTGCTTGCGTGCGTGTCTTCTCCTTTCCCACACGCGTCGGAGCCTCGACCAACCTTCCGTGGCGCCGCCGAGAAGAGGAAACCGAGGAGCAGCAGCACAAATATCCCAATGAGGCTCTGCATTCGTATCTGGTCGTTCCAGGAGTCGACGACCACCACCACGACGACCACCGCGGCCACCAGCAAGCACCCAATGAGACTTGCGAACCTAGACGCCAGAGATACTATGTGACTGAGTCTGGGAGGAAAACTTTAAGCGATGGTGGACTGATTCCCTTTTTGTAATTATCATCATTATCATTATTACTATTATTATTTTATTTTATCTATTATTATTATTATTTTTTTTTTTTTGGCAGGACGAGTATACGTTTGGAAAGTTTGAATTTTGTTGATGGTTTGCCACTGAAGTACAATACAACCTTATTGTACTTCAATACAACCGCCTTTTTCCTTACGCATCCTTATACCCGTATTGCGCAATGGTGATGTTTTTTTTGACTCGAATCCAGTTTTGGGGTAAATTCAAGCGACAGAAAACATGGAAAAAACATTCGAAACGGTTGACTTCGGTGAACTGTTTATTCAGACCATGAGTGTCAAATCCAAAACCCGTCGAGGACCAATTTAATTTCAGGCATCATTTTGTGGACCAACGGGATTACGCCAGTAGAATCTGTCTGATACTACTTATCTGTACGTAGAGTTTATTTTACCTCTCAAATTTGAAATGGTGACGCTAATGGTAACGGAAAATATAAGTATATGGATTATTCATGACGCCACATTTTTAAAATTAATTCTTAAACATAAAAGATCTACTGTCATGACATCATATTAATGCAGAATAAAGCTACCACGCCGCCTGCATGTCATATATTACTTCCGAGTATTTGCTACGTAAAGCGTAATACTTGCGTCTCCACTACTATTGCCATTAGGTAATAAAGATTATGTATGAATTTCCAGTCAATTGATCAAATAACATCTTCCTATACCATAATTTCACAGACAAATAATTCTTCTCGCGGGCATCTCGAAAGCCACATTTTGCCCGAATGCCATGCGTTTGACAGCCCTCATTCTGACGGATGCCTTAACCGTGTTGAGTGGTACTTTGAATGGCGGCCTTTTGTACAAACTCACCGACCGTTTATGAATGGGCGAAGTGTTCGACTGCACGGTTTGACGACGACTTCTGTGAATTTCTTGCCTAGTAATGGCTTGAATACCTGCAAGAAATGTATTTTTTATATCAACATTTGCATGTAGTTAGAGTTGAATTCGGTTTAGCTTCTGCATATGTAAAGATCCGGACATGTTAGTTCATAATCTCGGGAACAATCAAGCACAGCGTAGATCAGGGGCACCGTTTTTAGACCATTGGCCACTTAATAGAATCCTTGAACCCACAAGCAACCACACACACACACACACACTAGAATATTATTATTAATAATAATATTAATAGCAATAATGCTAATACCAGTTATTATAAAAATAAAGTAGACGTGCAGCTTCCAATGGTGAGGGGAATTTCATATCAAAATAAAGTTAAGGTTAAGCTACAATGTTTTAAAATGTTACAGTGCTAATGATGAACAATATAGTAACATTTATCAAGTAATATTAAATAGAGCATATGAGTAAAAAAAAGTTTATGCATTCATGTAGAAACATGTATTATGATTTCAAATAATTATCCTTCGATGTTTTATTAAACAAAATAGAATGAATAGACAATAAGAGCAATTATATATAAGTTAGAAACGTGTATCAGCAAGCTTTTTTTCATTATTTTTATTTCTTATGCGAGCCAGCTTTCGACCCCAGAACCACTAACAGCTCCGGCGTTTATCGACCAATTTTGGACCCGTATCCACTCCCAGGGGTCGATGGGGCCACTCTGGAGACCCCTGGTGCAAATAAACACTTGATAAAAGGTTTCTAAAACATGTTGCAGTCAAACCTACTGATAATACACGAGAAAACAAAAAATCAGAATAAAAACATAAATACAGTAAAACAATAAAAAAAGGACACATTTAAAGATAAACATTTTCAAAAGGTACACAAACGTAACAAAAAACTGTTCAAATTCACTATCACGAAGGCACAAACACGGAAAAATTAGTCAAGATATCACACAAAATTACCTGGAAATACAGGAGTCCTAATCCCACTAGTATCGTCAGGATGATAAGCAACCCGTCTGCGTCACACCAGTAATCCGTATCCTGGAAATGTTATCTGCTACAGTAAACATTAGTATCAAATCTTAACTTAGGGCCTATCACACTAACATTTTTTCCTTCATTTTTTGCGTTTCCGAATGAATTCCGCATGAAAATTATGTAAACAAACATGGCGCTATCGGAGTGAGGTCCCGGGAATCACACGAAGAATGTCATACATATTACGTTATTTTAAAGAAATGTGATGATGTATATTATATATACGAATGTTCTAAAATATTTGCATATGTTTACATTCACGTATCCTATATAATTTATTAATAGCACAAGATCAAAACGGAAATTAGTCAGATGGAAACGGTCGTAACCGTCTTGGTCTGTGAGGCGTTCCATTTGTAGACGATCCTTGCGGAGAGAGAAATTGACGGAAAAAGTGCTAGTATGACAGGGCCTTCACTCAAGGGCATTGGGAAAGGCGACCCCCTCCCCCCTTCATGGCCCTTCCTTCCTTTTGAAATGCCAGATCCGTTAAACCTCTCGGCCTTGTATAAATATAGGCCTATCTATATATAAAGGTTCTACATCAACACTTCTTAACACTACATAAGTATTGATAAAAACCCTCTAAAACCATATTATCTCTTTTTAAATTACCTATATTTTTGTTCATAAAACCGCTGTCAGGCCAAATTATCTCCTTTCAAATTACCCCAATTTTGTTCATAGTGCCCTCTAAAACCATATCTCCTTTTAAACTACCTTGATTTGTGTTCATAAGTGCCCTCTAAAACCATATTATCTCCTTTCAAATTACCTCGATTTTTGTCCATAAAAGCCCTCTAAAGTCATGTTATCTCCTTTTAAATTACCTCAATTTTAGTTTTGATGACCATGACGGAGGCGAAGTAGAGGATGTACCCGCCACCCAACACGAGACTCAGAAGCACGTGCTTGTAGTCCCGCATCTCCTTTACCTATGAATAAGAATGGCGAGGGTGAGTATGGTGTTGGCGACTAATCTCGATTGTTATTATCATTGTTATTGCGATGGTCATTAATAGGTATTCCCTTTATTTCGATTACTGTCATTATTATCTTTTATCATCACCATCATTATCATCAAATCATCATTATCATTATTATTATTATCATCATTATTATTGCCATTATCATTATCATTATAAAAGTGATTATTATCATCATCATTACTACTACCGCTACTACTACTATTGCAATGATAATTATTGTTCTTACTATTATTATTTTTATCATTGATTATGATAATAATAATTGTTATCATTACTAATATTAGTTCTATTATTATGATGTGATAATTATTACTATTATCATTATCATTATTATTACTGCTACGTCTACTTCTACTATTATCATTACTATAATTTTCATTATCATTATTATTAATATGATTGATAATGATAATAATAATTGTTACTACTACTACTACTATTATTATTGTCATTAGCATCATTATTATCGTTATCATTATCATTATTACTAATACTACTACTGATTTTAATAACATTGTTATCATTACTACTACTATAATTATTATTACTATCACTATCATTCTTCTTATTATCATTAGTAGCATTATTATCATCATCGTCATTGCTATTATCATTGTAAGTATCAGTATCCCCAAAACTAATAATACTGTTCCTATTTGCTTCTACATTAACATTATTCCTTCAGCATTAATGCCATCATTGCAGTAGGCGTCACTAGCATTTCACTTTTTCTTTGCCTTGAAAAAATGAAAGCGAAAAAAAGGAGAGAGAGAGAGAGAGAGAGAGAGAGAGAGAGAGAGAGAGAGAGAGAGAGAGAGAGAGAGAGAAGAGAGAGAGAGAGAGAGAGAGAGAGAGAGAGAGAGAGAGAGAGAGAGAGAATGGTATATGATAAAATTTTACAGTACCCCCCTGACCTGACTATGTTTCTTGAAAGAACAAAACGGAAAATCAATTTCAAAATTTAGAAGTAAAATTAAAGGCTACTAGACTAATCAATACTTTTCCTAATTATATAATTAACTTTCAATGGAAAAGACCAAAGACATTCTGAAAAAAAAACATAAGAAAGAACATCGGCCACAACACACAAGTTTCTAAGAACTGTCAAATTCTATAAAAAATCTGAGCGAAAGAAGAGAGATAGTAGTGTAACCGATACAGGATCATTAAATCAGGGTTTTAATACCTACATAAAGGAGATGGAGGATTTCATGGGGTGGAAATAGGCAGGATATGGTAGGATAAGATAAACAAGCATGGCGGAGATAATGTATGATATAACAAGATATCCTTAGTGGGAACTGAGGTGAGCGTAAGGCAGGATATGTGGTAGGATAAGGGTTCTTTGAGGTGGTGGCAAGGTGAAATATCTTATCATATCGGCTGTAGATGTTTCTTTACTAAGGAGACAAGACAGGATACAGCAGGACAAAGTTATCATGAAGGATTCCTTAGGAAAGGAGGTAAAGAATAGAAGTGAGGTTAAAGTCAATGATGATGACTGGCCATGACTCACTCACACCAAGGGCTAGAACAATAGGAGAGACACTCCACAACGAGTATAAAATCTACAATACTGAAAAAATCAACTGCGATAACAGTCAAGGTTATCAAGGCGGGAAAGTACAAAAGACGTAATGCACTTAAACATACGTGATAAGAAAAGCCGTTAATACGTTCCAGGCATTTCGAGGCAGAACCAATAATAAGAAGAAATAGTAATAATTAATAGATAAAAAACATCGCATAACATGTATTTATAATATACCTTCATTCGTTCACTTCAAGCATACATTCAGCCACATTATGCGATACTTCAACATGGCAATCACTAAGCAAGAAACGTAACATGTTCTAAAATTTGTGAATAACGTAATATATCCTATTGAGTATATCACGTAACAACAAAAGAGAAGTAAAGCAGACATACTTTGACATATACCACAACTGCTGAAAATATAACATTACCAAGGGGTCATCCGCAATTTTCATGATTATCACAAGCGTACAAAGGGGGGCCTTAAGACCAGGCGTACCCTTTTTGGATATGAAAAATGATGATCCGTCAATGGGCGAATCAGCGGCCACCATGGGTCAAATTTTGTGCCACGTCGGTGCTGCTAGCAGGGCTGGCCGCTTTTCCGCAGAAGCGTTTCTGTCGTTTTCTAAACATTAGACGATAAAGAAAACGGATATGGATAATAATATTGAACCATACAGTATCATAAATGGATGAATATTAGATTACAGTTACAGTGCGTACGATCAGTCAGATGATGATAGGATTCTCTGCGTTACTTTCTTGTTTATTGCACTGCATGAAACATTTTACAATAATAGCATCATTAAGCTAATAATGTGAACTTGATTTATCTATTTATCTATTCATATTGAGTGTGTTGCAGGGCTGAAGGTTGAGTCACTCTATAGAACTGTGGCTCTGCCTTAAGTGACATCGGGTGAAATTTCCGCCGCGATGACGTTCGGTCTGCCACATCGTATCAGTTCATACCAGGATGGTTTCAGCAATTTTTGTTTGATTTATTTGAACATGAAAAAAATCAATATTGCTTTAAACACTTTTCATTTGCATGAAATCATCTGTAGTCATACAGCCTAGGGGAAAAAATCTGTAGGCTTTTTGTGATGTCCTGTCATCAGACTTGATTTTAATACAGTGAAAGAGCAATATAACAAGACATGGTTTTATTTTGAATTCGGATAATTTTCTTAGAATCACAAAATAAAAATCCACGTATAGAAAGGGAGACCTTGATCCATCATCATTTTCCGTCCGCTAACGTTCACTTTTAGGGGGGAAGTCTACGCTTTGTAGACGTGATAATGATGAAAATTATGGATGTTCAGTTAAGAAATTCATCATACACTTACTCGTTAGAAAGTTGAATAGATTTGAAAAAAGATAAGACGATTACAAATAAGAAAAAAAAATAAGAATAAGTATAAGAATATGGATAATGATAAGAAAACACACCCGAGGATTGATGATGATGATTATAAAAAAGAATGAGAATTAGTATAAGGATAAGGATAATAATAAGAAAACGCATTAGAGTAAGAATAATAAGACTAATAAAAATGACAACATTGGTAATAAGAATAAGATGAAAAAGAAGTAGAAACAAAATAAGAAGCAAAGACGACGAAGAAGAAAATAGAAAAAGAAGAGCAAAGAAGACAGGAAGAAAAGAAAACGAAGCAAACCTAATAAAAGAAAATATAAGAAGATAAGGAAAACACAAAACTCACAGGCAGCCGATTATCGATAAAGTCCTGGATTTGTCCCGAATTCGGTAACATTGAAAACAAACTGTAGTCCTCAGCCGCCGCCCTTTTATCCTCTGCAGGGAACCCAGTTTCCAAGTCCTAAGGAAGTAAATAAAATGTTGATGTTATATTTATCTTCATTTATAGTTGTGTTAATTATTACCTGTTATTTACTTTCGTACGTTGTTTGGCTACCTAAATGATTATGTTTACAGGTTTTGTGAATATGTTTATATTCATCATGATTTACTACTACTGATATGACTATTATTATAATGAATATTATTGTTATATTATCATAGTTTTTATTATCCTTAATATCATTGTTATCGTTAATATCGTTATTATCAGTGTTAATACAATCATTATCATTATAATCAAAATAATTATCATTATGATTTCATCACTATGATTATCATTGTTCTCATTATCATTATTATGATAATTATTATTGTTATGATACTTATTATTGTTATTATGATAATTATTATTGTTATTATGATGATTATTATCAACATTATTGTTATCATTATTATTATTACTATTGTCATTGCTATAGATATTCCAATTATCATCTTTGTTATTACTTATTGTTATCTTTATCATTACTATAATTTTTATTATCATTATCACCATTATTATTACTATTTCCATTATCATCATTGTTAATGTTACCATTATCGTTATCAGTAGTATGATTATTATTATCATCATTATAATTTTTGTTTATTATCATTATTATTATTATCAACATTAAAATTGCCATCATTATTATAAGTATCATTAACATTACCATCCTCATTATCATTAACATTACCATCATTATTATTATCATTAACATTACCACATTAATTACATTATCATTACCATTGTTATAGCAATTTTTGTTATTATCACTATCGTCATTTTCATTGTTATAATCATCATTACTGTTATTATCATCATATTGTTATTATTATTATCATCCATATTATCATTGTTACTTTTATTATTACTAATATTATTACTTTTATCATTATCATTATCACTGTTATTATTGGCATAAATATTATTACTATCATTATCATTTTTTTATGATTCTTATTAACATCATTACCATTTTTATCATGATTCTTATTAACATCATTACCTTTATTATTTCATTATCATGATTATTATGATTATGATCATCATTATCATGATCATCATTATCATGATCATCATTATCCATCATTATCATGTCCATGATCATCATTATCATGATCATTATCATCATTATCATGTCAATCATGATCATCATTATCATGATCATCATTATCATTGATCATCATTATCATGATCATCATTATCATGATCATCAATCATCATTATCATGATCATTATCATGATCATCATTGATTGATCATCATTATGATCATCATCGTGATCATCATTATCGTGATCATCATTATCATGATATCAT